GGCGTACCTGAATGCGACGAAGAGAATGAATCCAAGCTGGAAAATACTCTTCAGGATATTATCTAGGAAAACTTCCCCAACCTAGCAAGGCAGGCAAACATTCAAGTCCAGGAAATACAGAGAACACCACAAAGATATTCCTCAAGAAGAGCAACCCCAAGGCACATAATCGTCAGATTCAACAGGGTCGAAATGAAGGAGAAAATACTAAGGGCAGCCAGAGAGAAAGGTCGGGTTACCCACAAAGGGAAGCCATCAGACTCACAGCAGATCTCTCAGCAGAAACCCTACAAGCCAGAAGAGAGTGGGGGCCAATATTCAACATCCTTAAAGAAAAGAACTTTCAACCCAGAATCTCCTATCTAGCCAAGCTAAGCTTCATAAGTGAAGGAAAAATAAAATCCTTTGGGAACATGCAAGTACTCAGAGATTTCTTCACTACCAGGCCAGCTCTACAAGAGCTCCTGAAAGAGGCTCTACACATATAAAAGAACAACAAGTACTAGCTCAACTAAAGGGCAAAACACCCAGCTAGCACGAAAATGGCAGTATCAAATTCACACATAACAATATTAACCCTAAGTGTAAATGGACTAAATGCCCATATCAAAAGACACAGACTGGAAAATTGGATAAAAAGCCAAAACCCATCGGTGTGCTGTATCCAGGAAACCGATCTCACATGGAAGGATACACAAAGGCTCAAAATAAAGGGGTGGAGGAAGATTTACCAAGCAAATGGAGAGCAAAAAAAAGCAGGAGTTGCAATTCTCATCTCTGATAAATTAGGCTTTAAAGCAACAAAGATCATAAGAGACAAAGAGGGACATTACATAATGGTGAAAGGAAAGGATCAATGCAACAAGAAGAGATAATGATCCTAAATATATACTCACCCAATACAGGAGCACCCAGATACATAAGGCAAGTTCTTAATGACTTACAAAGAGACTTAGACTCCCACACAATAATAGTGGGAGACTTTAACACCCCATTGTCATTATTAGACAGATCAACGAGACGGAAAATTAACAAGGATATCCAGGACTTGAACTCAGACCTGGACCAAGCAAACCTAATAGACATTTACAGAACTCTCCACCCCAAATCCACAGAATATACATTCTTCTCAGCACCACATCACACCTACTCTAAAATTGACCACATAATTGGGAGTAAATCACTCCTCAGCAAATGCAAAAGAACGGAAATCGTAACAAACAGTCTCTCAGACCACAGTGCAATCAAGTTAGAACTCAGAATTCAAAAACTAACCCAGAACTGCACAGCTTCATGGAAACTGAACAACTTGCTCTTGAATGTTGACTGGATAAACAATGAAATGAAGACAGAAATAAAGATGTTCTTCGAAACCAACGAGAATGAAGACACAACATGCCAGAATCTCTGGGACACATTTAAAGCAGTGTCTAGAGGAAAATATATAGCAATAAGTGCCCACATGAGAAGCAAGGAGAGATAAAAAATTGACACTCTATTGTCAAAACTGAAAGAGCTAGAGGAGCAAGGTCAAAAAAGCTCAAAGTCTAGCAGAAGACAAGAAATAGCTAAGATCAGAGCAGAACTGAAGGAGACAGAGACACAAAAAACCCTTCAAAAAATCAATAAATCCAGGAGCTGGTTTTTTGAAAAGATCAACAAAATAGACAGACCACTAGCCAGATTAATAAAAAAGAAAAGAGAGAATAACCAAATGGATGCAATAAAAAATGATAAAGGGGATATCACCACAGATTCCACAGAAACTCAAACCATCATCAGAGATTATTATAAACAACTCTATGCATATAAACTAATAAACGTGGAAGAAATGGATAAATTCCTGGACACTTGCCTCCTCCCAAGCCTAAACCAGGAAGAAGCCGAAACCCTGAACAGACCCATAACAAGGTCTGAAGTTGAGGCAGCAATTAAGAGCTTACCACCCAAAAAAAGCCCAGGTCCAGACGGGTTCACAGACGAATTCTACCAGACATACAAAGAGGAGCTGGTACCATTCCTTCTGAAACTCTTCCAAACAATACAAAAAGAGGGAATTCTTCCCAAATCATTTTATGAGACCAACATCCTGATTCCAAAACCCGGCAGAGACTCAACAAGAAAAGAAAACTTCAGGCCAATACCCATGATGAACATAGATGCAAAAATCTTCAATAAAATACTGACAAGCCGATTGCAACGGCACATCAAAAAGCTTATCCACCATGATCAAGCACGCTTCATCCTGGGGATGCAAGGCTAGTTCAACATACGCAAGTCTATAAACGTAATTCACCACATAAACAGAACCAAAGACAAAAACCACATGATTATCTCAATTGATGCAGAGAAGGCCTTTGACAAAATTCAACAGCTCTTTATGCTAAAAACCCTCAATAAGCTAGGTATTGATGGAAAGTATCTCAAAATAATAAAAGCTATTTATGACAAACCAACAGCCAATATCATACTGAATGGGCAAAAACTGGAAGCATTCCTCTTGAAATGTGGCACCAGACAAGGATGCCCTCTCTCACCACTGCTATTCAATATAATATTAGAAGTTCTAGCCAGAGCAATCAGGCAAGAAAAAGAAATAAAGGGCATCCAAATAGGAAAGGAGGAAGTCAAATTGTCTCTATTTGCAGACGACATGATTGTATATCTAGAAGACCCCAGTGTCTCAGCCCCAAATCTCTTGAAACTGATAAGCAATTTCAGCAAAGTCTCAGGATACAAAATCAATGTGCAAAAATCACATGCATTCCTATACACCAATAACAGACTTAAAGAGAGCCAAATCAAGAACACACTTCCATTCACAATTGCCACAAAGAGAATAAAATACCTAGGAACACAACTAAGAAGGAATGTAAAGGACCTCTTCAAGGAGAACTACAAGTCACTGCTCAATGAAATAAGAGAGGACACAAACAGATGGAGAAACATTCCATATTCATGGTTAGGAAGAATCAATATCGTGAAAATGGCCATACTGCCCAAAGTAATTTACAGATTCAATGCTATCCCCATCAAGCTACCAATGACCTTCTTTGCAGAACTGGAAAAAGCCACCTTAAACTTCATATGGAACCAAAAGAGAGCCCACATAGCCAAGTCAATTCTAAGCAAAAAGAAGAAAGCAGGAGGCATCAGACTACCGGACTTCAAACTATACTACAAGGCTATAATAATCAAAACAGCATGGTACTGGTACCAAAACAGAGATATAGACCAATGGAACAGAACAGAGGTCTTGGAGGCAACACATCATATCTAAACCATCTGATCTTTGACAAACCAGACAAAAACAAGCAATGGGGAAAGGATTCCCTGTTCAGTAAATGGTGTTGGGAAAGCTGGCTAGCCATGTGCAGAAAGCAGAAACTGGACCCCTTCCTGACACCTTACACTAAAATTAGCTCCAGATGGATTAAAGACTTAAACCTAAGACCTAACACCATAAAAACCCTAGAAGAAAATCTAGGCAAAACCATTCAGGACGTAGGCGTAGGCAAGGACTTCATGACCAAAACACCAAAAGCATTGACAACAAAAGCCAAAATAGACAAATGGGACCTAATCAAACTCCACAGCTTCTGCACAGCAAAAGAAACAGTCATTAGAGTGAATCGGCAACCAAGAGATTGGGAAAAAATTTTTGCAGTTTACCCATCTGACAAAGGGCTGATATCCAGAATTTACAAAGAACTAAAACAGATTTACAAGAAAAAAACTAACAAGCCCATTCAAAAGTGGGCAAAGGATATGAACAGACACTTTACAAAAGAAGACATACGTGAGGCCAACAAACATATGAAAAAATGCTCATCATCACTGGTCATCAGAGAAATGCAAATCAAAACTACATTGAGATACCATCTCACGCCAGTTAGAATGGTGATCCTTAAAAAATCTGGATGCAACAGATGCTGGAGAGGATGTGGAGAAATAGGAACACTTTTGCATTGTTGGTGGGAGTGTAAATTAGTTCAACCATTGTGGAAGACAGTGTGGCGATTCCTCAAGGACCTAGAAATAGAAATTCCATTTGACCCAGCAATCCCATTACTGGGTATATAACCAAAGGATTATAAATCGTTCTACTATAAGGACACGTGCACACGAATGTTCATTGCAGCACTGTTTACAATAGCAAAGACCTGGAACCAACCCAAATGCCCATCGACAACAGACTGGATAGGGAAAATGTGGCACATATACACCATGGAATATTATGCAGCCATCAAAAATGATGAGTTTGTGTCCTTTGTAGGGACATGGATGAACCTGGAAACCATCATTCTCAGCAAACTGACAGAAGAGCAGAAGATCAAACACCGCATGTTCTCACTCATAGGCGGGTGTTGAACAATGAGAACACATGGACACAGGGAGGGGGGCACTACACACTGGGGTCAGTTGGGGGGAAATAGGGGAGGGATGGTGGGGGGTGGGGAGCTGGGGAGAGACAGTGAGGGGAGAAATGCCAGATGTAGGTGATGGGGAGGAAGGCAGCAAATCACACTGCCACGTGTGTACCTATGCAACAATTTTGCATGTTCTTCACATGTACCCCAAAACCTAAAATGCAATAAAATAAATAAATGGGGATAAAAAAAAAAGAAAGAAAACTTGTACTAAGGGATTCACTTGCTGTGGATGCTGCTCCCTAGCCAGAACTGAGTAAAATTAAGATTTTACACTTGGCCAATTTTACAAGCCAGAAGTAATAGTACTTCACTCTTGTCCCTTGCATCATAATGACAGCTATTGAGTAAAAAATAGAGAGTTGATACAGGTGTTATAAATACAAACTTAGAATCGAACAGACCCAAGGTGGAGCCCAGCTCCACCTCTTGATTTGGGCATGATTTTAGGCCAGTTTCTTACTCACTCCACGCATAGATTGTCTCCTTTGTAAAATGGGCATAACACTTAGGTCACAGAGGAGTGGTCGGAACCAGCAAATCTGACTCACAAATTAATCATGCTTCATATGATCACTTCAGCAGCACATAGATAAAACTGGAAAGATACAGAGAAAATACATGGCAGCTGTGCAAGGATAACATGCAAATTTGTGAAGTGTTCTATATTTTTCATGTTCATGGATTGGAAGAATCAATATTTTAAAATTTTCATACTACCCAAAGCAATCTACAGATTAAATGCAATCCTTATTAAAATACTAACAACATTCATCACAGAAATTTAAAAAAAATTCTAAAATTTATTTGGAACTACAGAAGGCCCAGAATAGCCAAACTTATCCTAAACAAGAAGAACAAAACCGGAGGGATCACATTAGCTGACTACAAACTATACTACACAGCTACAATAATCAAATCAAAAACAAGCACATGAACCAATGGAACAGCATAGAGAACCAAGAAAGAAATTCACACACCTATAGTGAACTCATTTTTGACAAAGGTGTCAAGAACATACATTGGGGAAAAGACAGTCTGTTCAATAAGTGGTGCTGGGAAAACTGGATATCCATATGCATAAGAATGAAATTAGATCCCTATCTCTCACCGTATACAAAAGTGAAATCAAAGTGAATTAAAGACTTAAATCTAACACCTCAAACTATGAAACTACTACAAGAAAACATAGGGAAAACTCTCCAGGACATTGGTCTGGGCAAAGATTTTTTGAGCAATACCCCACAAGCATGGTCAATCAAACCAAACATGGACAAATAGAATCACATCAAGTTAAAAAGCTTTACACTTGTAATCCCAGCACTTTAGGAGACCGAGGTGGGTGGATCAATTAAGGCCAGGAATTGGAGATCAGCCTGGCCAACATGGCAAAACCCCTTCTCTACTAAAAATTAAAAAATTAGGCAGGCACGGGCAGTCCCAACTATTTGGAAGGCTGAGGCACAAGAATCATGCACAGCAAAGGATACAATCAACAAAGTGAAGAGGCAACCCATAGGATGAGAGAAATATTTACAAAATACCTCTCTGACAAGCAATTAATCACCAGAATATGTAAGGAGCTCAGATAACTCTAGAGGAAACAAATCTCATAATATGATCAAGAAATTTGCAAAAGATTTGAATAGATATTTCTCAAAATAAGACATACAAATGACAACAGCATTTTAAAAAGTGCTCAACATCACTGATCATCAGAGAAATGCAAATTAAAACTATAAGGAGATAGCATCACATCCAGTTAAAATGGCTTATATCCCAAAGACAGGTAATAATGTATGTTGGTGAGGATATGGAGAAAAGCGAACCATTATACACTCTTGGTGAGAATGTAAGTTATTACAACCACTATGGAGAATAGCTTGGAGGTTCCTTAAAGTATAAAAATTTGAGATACCATAAGATCCAGCAATCCCACTGCTGGGTGAATAACCAAAATAGGAAAGTCAGTAGATATTTGCACTCCTATGTTTGTTGCAGCACTGTTCACAATAGCTAAGATTTGGAAGCAAGCTAAGTATTCATCAGCAGATGCATGGATGAAGAAAATGTGGTCCATATACACAATGGAGTACTATTCAGCCATAAAAAAGAATGAGATCCTGTCATTTGCAACAACACTGATGGAATCGGAGATCCTGTTAAGTGAAATAATTGAGGCCCTGAAAGACTAACATCACACGTTCTCACTTATTTGTGGGATCTAAAAGTAAAATCAATTGAAATAATGGACATGGAGAGTAGAAGGATGGTTACCAGAGGCTGGCAAGGATAGTGGGGGTTTATGGCAGAGGTGAGGATAGTTAATGTGTACCAAAAAAAAAATAGAAAGAATGAACAAGACCTACTATTTGATAGCACAATAGAGTGACTATTGCCAATGATAACCTAACTGAAAATTTTTAAATAACTTAAATAGTATAAGGGCCAGGTGTGGTGACTTAAGCCTGTAATCTCAGCACTTTGGGAGGCTGAGGTGGGTGGATCACAAGGTCAGGAGTTCGAGACCAGCCTGGCCAATATGGCGAAACCCCATCTCTACTAAAAATACAAAAAATTAGCTGGGTGTGGTGGCACATGCCTGTAATCCCAGCTACTCAGGAAGCTGAGGTAGTAGTATCACTTGAACCCGGGAGGCAGAGGTTACAGTGAGCCGAGATCGCGCCACTGCACTCTTGCCAGGACAACTGAGCGAGACTCAGTCTCAAATAAAAGAGAGTATAATCAGATTGCATGTAACTCAAAGGATAAATCAGGATATGTGTACAGGGTCCCATAAGTACCATTATCCATGATGTGGTTATTTCACATTACATTCCTGTATCAAATCATTCTCATGTACCCCATAAATATATATACCTACAATGCACCCATATATTTTTTTTTTTTTTGAGATGAAGTCTTGCTGTGTCGCCCAGGCTAGAGTGCAGTGGTATGATTCCAGCACACTGCAACCTCTGCCTCCTGCATTCAAATGGTTCTCTTGCTTCGGCTTCCTGACTAGCTGGAACTACAGGCGCCCTTCACCATGCCCGACTAATTTTTGTATTTTTAGTGCAGAAAGTGTTTTGCCATGTTGGCCAGGCTGGTCTCAAACTCCTGAGCTCAAGGGATCCACATGCCTTGCCCCAACAAAGTGCTGGGATTATAGACGTGAGCCACTGTGCCCAGCCTTAACTTTGGGTTTTTCCCAGATACCTTTTATGAGGATGAGGAAGTTATCTCTATGCCTAGTTTACTGCATATTTTTATATGAAGGCGAGTTCAATTTTGTTCTTTTTCTTTTTTTTTTTTGAGACAGAGTCTCGCTGTCCCTGGGCTGGAGTGCAATGGTGCTATCTCGGTTCACGGAAACTTCCATCTCCTGGGTTCATATGATTCTCCTGCTTCAGCCTCCAGGGTAGCTGGGATTACAGGTGCATGTTACCATGCCCGGCTAATTTTTTGTATTTTTAGTAGAGATGGGGTTTCACCATGTTGGCCAGACTGGTCTTGAACTCCTGATCTTGTGATCCACCCTCCTTGGCCTCCCAAAGTGCTGGGATTACAGGCGTGAGCCACTGCACCCGGCCCGATTTTGTCAATTTTTTTCTGCAACTATTGGGATAATCATGTGATTTTTGTGTTTTTTCTTGATACAGTGTATTATATAATTTCATTTTTGAATGTTAAAAGAATCTGGTAGGCCGGGCACGTTGGCTCACACCTGTAATCCCAGCACTTTGAGAGGCTGAGGAGGGTGGATCATGAGGTCTGGAGATTGAGACCAGCCTGGCCAAAATGGTGAAACTCCATTCCTACTAAAAATACAAAATTTAGCTGGGCATAGTGGTGGGTTCCTGTAATCCCAGCTACTCTGGAGGCTGAAACAGGAGAGCTGCTTGAACCTGGGAGGCGGGGGTTGCAGTGAGCCGAGATCGTACTATTGCACTCCAACCTGAGTGACAAGAGGAAGACTCTGTCAAAAAAAAAAAAAAAAAAAAAAGGAACCTGGTATTCCTGGTATAGATCACATTTGGTTATATTATATAATTATTTTTACATGTTACTATAGTCAGCTTTCTAGTATTTTGTTGATGGTTTTTGCATCCATATTAATAAGAAATATTAGTTTGTAGTTTTCATTTTCTTTTTTTTCTGGCAAGGTCTTGCTCTGCTCCCCAGGCTGAAGTGCAGTGGCATGATCACAGCTCACTCCAGGCTCAACCTCCTGGGCTCAAGTGATCCTTTTGCCTCAGCTTCCCAAGTAGCTAGTGCTACAGGTGTATGCCACCATGCCCAGTTAATTTCTGTTTTTTTTTTTTTTTTTTTTTTTTGTAGAGATGAAGTCTGGCTTTGCTGCCCAGGCTGGGGCTATGCCTTTTAAAAACAGCACTGAAATATAGCTTTTCCTGTATCACATTGGCAAAGGTTAAAAAGTTTTTCTTGGCCGAGCACAGTGGCTCATGCCTATAATCCCAGCATTTTGGGAGGCTGAGGCGGGCGGATAGCCTAGGTCAGGAGTACAAGACCAGCCTGGCCAACATGGTGAAATCCCATCTCTACTAAAAATACAAAATTTAGCCAGGCGTGGTGATGAGTGCCTGTCATCCCAGTTACTTGGGAGGCTGAGGCAGGAGAATTGCTTGAACCTGTGAGGCAGAAGTTTCAGTGAGCTGAGATTGTGCCATTGCAGTCCAGCCTGGGCAATAAGAGTGAGACTCTGTCAAATAAAATAATATAATGACAATGACAAAAAGTTGTTTTTTGTTTTTGTTTTTTTACAATGTTTAGTTTCCTTTAATGACCCCTATCTACCTGAAAGGCAGGTACAGGCAGCGAGGCGATGGCAAGAGATGTTCACTTGAAGATCTTGCCCTGATTGAAGGCTTTGCCCACATGCTGGAAGGCCCCTCCCAGGAAAAGTTCTCTCAAACCAGTATCTGGGTCTCCTCACTGCCAGAATCCAGGATCCAGTTTCTGCCATGTGTATGACTCATAGTCCACCTGCCAATCTGGACTCACCGGAGAGGCAAGCTCCTGGCATCAGAAGACCCAGACTCCAGAAATGGAGCTGCTATTGTTGGTTCCAAAGAGGATTACACTGGCGAAGCCATTCTTCCTTGTCTTGTCCAGTTGCTGGAATATTCCAGTGATGAGATTGCAGCTCATGAAAGTCTGAGTGAGTTCTTCAGGGAAGTGACACTCTGAGTACCACAGGGACCAGCTGTCCTTATCAAAGTGCTCCCAGAAATATGGCAGTGCCACAGAGAGTGTGTCCTCGTTGGAGTACTTGCGCTTAAATTCATCCAACACAAAGGTACTCTTGGGCAGGTGAGTGAAGGGGTCTTTGGCCTTGGGCTCAGCGGCCAGCGCCTGCTCATATTCATCCACCTCCTCCTCAAGAGCAGGGGCAGCCGTCTTTTTCTCCTCCTTCCATCAGCCTGGGGCTGCTGCTTCTCTTCTCGTGAGCCCTTCTCTTTCCATGGGGTGTCCTTTTTAGGTTGGCTCTCTGCAAACTTTTTAGCATCAAACTGGGCCATCTTCTCACACAGTTTCACCTTCCCCAAGACAGCCCAGAACTGGGGCTAGTTAATGCAGGTGAGGAACCAGCAGTTGGTATTAGGAAATGCCTGGCAGAAGAAGACTCTAGGACCTGCTTATAGAGCCACA